AAGAAAACATGGATCAACAGGGTCAATCCGGTGTCCCCGGCCCCGCAGGGCGCAAGCTTCACATCGCCCACAGAAGAAGTCCCTCGGAGCTCACACCCCTCATGAGTAAGTCTCCTGTAGTCTCCCCTTGCGTTCGATCTTCTTCTTAACATCTTTATTCTCTCCTGATTCACACATACTAATGTTCTCATCATCAAAGTGGAGCAATTGGCCATTCAGCAACAGATTGAGCTGCTTCAGCAGCAACAACAACAGATCGCAGCTACTCATCAGCAATATGTCAACATGGGTCTGTTACAACCACAGCAGCTGGGTCAAGTTTCGGCATTCTCTCCCTCTCTGCAAAGCGGGGCTTCCATGGGAGGAGTTTCCCCGCAGATCAATGCCTTCCAGTTTCCGCAACTGGCTCAGCAACAACTTGGCGTCGGATTGAACGCACCTGCCCAGCATTCGCATCGACGGAATCAGTCGGCTCTTCCCGGTTTGGGAATGGGACCTCCACCAGCTCCATCCTCAGGAGCGTCGGGATACTCGGACTATAACCAACAACAGAGCCATCAGCCAAAGAATGAGAATGGAGGTCATGGGCGTGGCCAAAGAGGTCCTCCTGGTGGCGGTGGTCATCAGAGACGTCACTCGCTTGCACTTCCTGAAGCCAAAAAGGCCGCTGAGCTTGCGCAACAGAAAAGGACGGCATCTGGTTTCCAGTTTCCCGCTCCCTCTGGCGATTCCTCTGATGCTGCGCAGAGCTCAGACGGCAAGTCAACCCCACCCGCTACACAGGCTCCCCAAGGTCTAGGTATGCATCGAGCCGGTAACATCCGTGCTGGCGGTCATGGTCGTAGTCAGTCAATGGCTGTGGGTGGAAATCGAGGCTCTCTGTCGGGTCGCGGCGCCGGTGGCTTCCAGTTCCCTGCTTCTAATGACAGTGGTTCTGATAATCAACGCCGTGGCAGCCAGCCCGGTCACGCTCGGTCTGGATCAAGGAACTTTGATAGCAACTGGCGCCAGCCTAATAACCAAGCTCAAAGCCAGGATCAACAGAAGAGCTTTGGACAGCAAGGCAGTGGCTTCCAGCCTGGACATCGTGCTCGTGCATCCATGAACCAGTCGATTGGTTCCATTGGGCAGTTCCAATACCCTGCACAGCCCCAGCTCATTCAACTGCCACAAGGCCAGGTCATGATGGCTCCGCAGATGTTTGGTGGCCAACAACAACTGAACCCCCTGCAACTTGCCCAGCTCCAGGCCCTGCAACAGAATGGACAGCTCAGCGGCCAGGGCCTTGGGCTTCAGGCTAGTCAGCACGCTCCGCCGCAGCTTTCTGCTCAACAGCAGCAGCAACAACAGCAGCAGCAGCGGAAGACCCTCTTCACCCCTTACCTGCCTCAGGCAAACCTTCCTGCTCTCTTGAGCAATGGCCAGTTGGTCGCTGGTATCCTCCGTGTAAACAAGAAGAATCGTTCTGACGCCTACGTCACCACACCAGACCTAGATGCCGATATCTTCATCTGTGGAAGCAAGGATCGTAACCGTGCTCTTGAGGGAGACTATGTTGCAATCGAGCTTTTGGATGTAGATGAGGTGTGGGCTCAGAAGAAAGAAAAGGAGGAAAAGAAGAAGCGCAAGGACATCACAGACGCCCGTTCCGGTAGCAATGCTGGAAATGACAAGCTGTCTCGATCTGATTCCGGCGCCAACGGCGACCGCCAGGAGGTCGGCCCCGACGGCAGTATCCGTCGCCGTGGCAGTCTCCGTCAGCGACCAACCCAAAAGAAGAACGATGATGTCGAGGTTGAGGGTCAGAGTCTTCTCCTGGTTGAGGAAGATGAGATCAGTGACGAGCAGAAGCCCCTCTATGCGGGACACGTCGTCGCCGTCATTGAGCGTATTGCTGGACAAATGTTCTCGGGAACATTGGGCCTCCTTCGTCCCAGTAGCCAGGCGACGAAGGAGAAGCAGGAGGCCGAGCGACTCGCCAGAGATGGTGGTCACGGTCGCCAACAGCAGGACCGCCAGCAGGATAAGCCCAAGATCGTGTGGTTCAAGCCCACCGATAAACGTGTTCCTCTGATCGCCATCCCCACCGAACAGGCTCCTCGCGACTTTGTTGAAAAACACCAGGAGTACGCCAATCGAATCTTTGTTGCATGCATTAAGCGATGGCCAATCACATCTCTGCACCCCTTTGGTACCCTTGTCGAACAGCTTGGCGAGATGGGCGACTTGAAGGTGGAGACCGAAGCTCTGCTGCGGGACAACAACTTCGGTGGAGACGAATTCTCAGACGCTGTTCTCAAGAGTATCGGTTGGGAAGACTGGTCGGTCGCCAGTGAGGGTGACGCTCTGCTCGCCTCCCGTCGGGACCTGCGCCAGGAGACGACTTTCACCATCAATCCTACCGGAGCCAAGCAGATTGACAATGCGTACCACATCAAGCCTCTTGCGGATGGCAAGGTGGAGATTGGTATCCATGTCACGGATATCGCTCACTTCGTCAAAGCCAACTCCCTTGTTGATCGGGAGGCCAAGAAGCGAGGCACGGCTGTTTACCTCATGAACAGACTTGTGAACATGCTCCCCACCCGCGTATCTACTGAACTGTGTGCCCTGCTGCCAGGCGAGGATCGGTTGACAGTCAGTGTCATTATCAAAGCCAACCCAGAAACAGGTGCTATCGAGGATGACGTTTGGATCGGCAAGACCATCATCAAGAGTTCCGGTCGCCTCAGCTATGATGATGTCAATTCCATTCTTCAGGGAACTTCAAACGTTGCCGCTCCCGGTGTCGCCGCTGACACTATCAGAGCCCTTTATGTAAGTGATCTCGTGAACTCGACCCGCAGTATCTCGTCTAGTGTTGGCTGAGCGGCTGAGCTAATGGTATCTTATAAATAGGCTGTCACTTCACGATTCAAGGAGGCTAGATTCGGCAATCGGATTTCACAAATCCCTCCCCTCCGCCTTTTGTACCAGCTCGATGACGAGAATGTGCCCGTTGAGGGTAATATCTTCGACTCCTCTCCTGTCCGTGAGATGGTTGAAGAACTCAGCTTCAAAGCCGATTCCTTGGTAGCCCGTCGCTTGGCCGCTGCATTGCCGGATAGGGCCTTCCTCCGCCGCCAAACCCCACCCAACGCCCGTCGTCTTCAGCTTTTCGTTGAACGCATGAACAGACTTGGGTTCGGCTTGGACCCAACCAGCAGCGGGACCCTGCAGAGCAGTCTCTGCAAGGTCCAAGATGATGATTTGCGCAAGGTCAGAAGACTCGCCCTTCTTGTCGAATATATGAAACTTCGTTACTGACAGTAGTAGGGTATGGAAACGCTTCTTATGAAGTCCATGCAACGTGCCAAGTACTACGTGGCTGGCAGCACATCTGACGACCAGCGACAACACTATACACTTAATTTGCCAGTATATACACACTTCACCAACCCATCTCGCCGTTATGCGGATATGCTCGTTCATCGTCAGCTAGAGGCTGTTCTGTCCAACGGTGCTATTGAGCTTTCGGAGGATCTGGAGTCGCTGAACAAGACTGCCGATCTTTGCAACAACAAGAAGGACTCCGCACACAATGCCCAGGAGCAAAGTGTTCACATCGAAGCCTGCAGAAGCATGGATAAAATCCGCCAAGAGCATGGCGGTGATCTCATTAGCGAGGGTATCGTTCTCTGTGTTTATGAGTCTGCCTTCGATGTTCTCATCCCAGAATATGGATTTGAGAAGCGTGTCCACTGCGATCAGCTGCCTTTGAAGAAGGCCGAATTCCGCAAGGAGTCGCGTGTGCTGGAGCTTTACTGGGAGAAGGGAGTGCCATCCTCTGCTTATATCCCTGAAGACGAGCGGCCGAAGCCTGCCAACTCTCGCGCTGCTCAAGCTGCTGCTGCTGCCCGCGAAGCTGAGGCTGCACGTGAGCGTGCTCGCGAGCGCGAAGAAGCCATCCGTAGACAGACCGAGACTGGCACCATGTCGCATGATGACGTGGACGCTTTATTCGATGACGATGACGACGTTTCCGAAGTCACCGAGATGGCTGCGGGTGTTTCATTGAACTCCGCTGTCGACCGTTCCACCCAGAGCATGCCACCTTCGCCTACTCGCAATGGCCATCTCCCTCAGGCGCCTCATCGGACACGTTCTGACCCCAAGATTGCGACCATCAGTGGCGATGCTCCTGAAGCTAAGTTGACGAACAAGGAGAAGTATCTCCGGCTGTTCAAGCTCAGAGAGGAGGATGGAGAGTACATTCAGGATGTCACCGAGATGTCTCGGGTGCCCATCATCCTAAAGACTGATTTGAGCAAGAGCCCACCGTATGTTTCTCCTCGGTCACCGTTTCTTCTCAGTCGAGTCCCCAAGCTAACCGCGACACAGATGCCTTACTATCCGCTCTGTTAACCCCTATGCGCTGTAATAGGGGCCTTACATCATATGTCTTCTCTGGATGTGTTTTACATGTTTACAGTACAGATTTGACCTTTGCTTAGCGGATTGTTAGGGTGGCTGTCTGATGGTGGTCGTCCAGTTTGATTGTCTTCCGTCAGCTGAGCGAGGCACCACCTCATGCTCATGGTCGTATAGCTTTTATCAGCCTAGCGTGTTATTTTTTCTTATAATGTCTGAAGCTCTTCCTGGGAAACAGGGGCAAGCCTAACTTGAGACTTTGCAGCAGGGCCTCGTGTGGACCTGACTCAAGGAGATCGAAGTGTGAACCTCCGTGGTGATGGAGGGTTATCTTTACGTCTTGCCGATCATGAAGATCCGAGGGCTAGATGCCTGGTCTAATGTGACATGACGAGAGGGGGTACTTATCTCGGCCAGATCGAAAGCCAGTCAAGCTCAATTGTCTCGGCAAATTTTGTGAATTCATCATTAGATATTGCATAGTTTCAAACAGCACATGTTCCAGAACACTGATTAATCCTCCGAGGTACAATTGTAGCCAAGCGATGAGGTCAACAGTTTTCACGCTAAGTGATGATTGCGGTAGACTCCTTGAGTTTTGCATACATCTTACAAGCGGACTACCTAAACAGGTACAGTCTATCACATGCGGGTCGGGGTGTACTTCTACAAATCCAAACATAGTAAACGCCAGGCTAAAGAATCCTCACAACCAAAACCCATCCCAACAGTCTCGTAAAACCAACTCCGCAATGAACATAATGCTAACAACCTCAAAACAAGAAGTGAAGAGAAAGGAAAAGGCACAGAAGTTACAACCGCCGTATCCCAATCCTCGGCTTCACTTTCTTTCCCGTCCCGCCAGCCGACGCCGACACCTTCCTCGCGCCCAATGTCATGGACCGGAGCGGTTTCGAAGTTGAAGGGACGGACGCGGAGACGGCACGTCGAGAAGACATAGTGCCCGTCGTATTAGCAGCAGTAATAGTAGTAGTAGGTGCCGCGAGCGGGGGATATTGGTGGGATGATTTCCCAGGGAAGAGGGACGATGAAGCGGAGGCGAGAAAATCCTTGGACAGGGGGTTCTCCTTGCCGTCCCCACTCCGTCGGCGGCGGGTTTCCTCGTCGTCCGAGCCCGGGGAAGAGGACGGGTCCTCGAAGATCTGGAGGTCGACTGTCGCTGCTGCTGCTGCTGCTGCCGCCGCCGCCGTCGTAGTAGGGGTAGAGGCTACGACATCGTCGCGGATGCGGCCGGAGGCGTTGACGCCTTTCATGGGGGAGGCGCCTCGTTTGGGGATGGAAAGTTTGGGGGACTTGTTGCGGGGTTGTTCGGGGGAGGAGTGATCTTCGTCTCTTTCTTTGTCTCTTGTGGGAAGAGGGTGGGTTTTGCTGGGGTGTTTGTAGTAGGACAAGGTGGGAGAGCTGGATGGTGATGTTGATCTTGTTTGGTTGGCGGCGATATTCTGGTCTGAAGCCGAGGGGTTGGGGGTGATTTCGGGATCGGGGTCGGACTGGTCGTCGTCGTCGTCGTCCATGTCCATTGGTAGCGTTAGGACGGAGAGGGGACGTTTACCGTGGATGTTTTTGCGGAGGGTTGGGGGTGGGCGGTGGCGGACTGGGGAAGGGGATAGCGAAGGGTCGTTCTCTTTGCTGGTGTTGGTGGAGGATTCGGAGTCGGAGGGGGTTTCATCGTCATGACTGTTTCCTTCATTGTTGGGAGCTGAATGCGTTTGTTGTTGAAGGTGATCTTGGTGACGGAGGTCTTTTTCGCGGTGGGTGAGGTGATCGGTTGTGAGGGCTAGAGAGGGTTTGGGTAAACTGGTCTGGCTGAATGACGGCGTTGGCGCAGCTGCTGAGACCGTCTGAGGAGTTGTGCTAGATTCTGATTCGGGTGTATTCCTCGCGCTGGTCTTCCGAGTTGTCCGTTTCTTCATCGTCACGGACGTGATTCTGGTTCCTTTGCGTGGCCTCAAGGTGCGGGGTTCGTCCTGCTCGACCGGGATCGTGGTGCCGGCGTCTTCACCCCGCAGTTTCGCTTCGGCGACTGCGCTCTTGAGATCGTCGGGGACGGGAGCATGGATTGAGGTCATCAGCTTGGCTTGACGGGCGAAGGCTTCGTAGTTTTCTTGCAGGAGGGAGCCGGAGGCGGCGTTGAGTGCGGAGTCGGGGTTCGGGTAGATCAGCAGACAGGAGATTGTCTACACGTGCGGAGCATTGGGGTTAGAGATCCTCGATTGCGGTAATCGTGGTAATGGGGGTGGAGGGCAGCTTACGATCAGCACATCCTTCAAGGTCAGCGTAGACTTCCAGTCTCGCTTCAGAGTATCCACGCAGACAGCTCCCGTCAGTTCCTCCACATTCGGATGCCAGATGCGAGTCTTGAAGGTCGCCTTGGGAGGACTCTTGGGGTAATCCTCCGGCATCTTTAGATGTAGTCGCCATAGTCCCTGTGAGTAGGGGGTACCCTGCGGACCAGCTAGGAGCGCGGTGAACTGCGTCAAATCGTCGGCGTTGGCATCATTGGGAGGGAAGAGGTAGTTGGGCGGCAGCTCCTCATGCAATGCAGCATGGTCCGCTGCGAGACGGCGGATGCTCGCTGAAACCTTTCGAAATCCGTTAGCTTAAACTGATATCCTAAAAAAAAAATGCTATTGGTAAAATCAAAAACTTACCATCCTGCCTGCGCTATGTGCGGCTTTCTGAGAAGTCGAACACAATTGTAGTGATACGATATATGGAAAGAGGATAAGATAATCTCACAAGACAAGGGTCCTTGGGCAAAAAGAGCTAGGTGAAAGTCAGGTGTCGAACTAGCTAGCACCAGGTGTCACTGATGTCTAGATCTCTGAGAGTGGGACTGTTTCGGAGTTTTCTTTCTCAGCAAGAGCGATTGGTGAGTAAATGTTGTGACACCCAGTACGGAGCAGTACTTTTGTATAAGCTCACTAGTGAAGTAGTCACTCCAGCGACGACCCGACAGCTCATTTGTTTTGATGATGTTTAGTGAAGCTGACCGACGGCACTAAGCCCGGCTGGGTCTCAAAACAACGCGCCCGCACACCATGCAGTCACGTGCGTTTCGCGTGTTCCGCGCGTTTTAGGCAGTGTAATTGGATGAGGTAAGGAATCCCGATTGGGATAGGGGCGAGTGCGGACCACCTCCCGGGCCTCTTGAACAGCTGGACAAGTGGAGGAGTCTCCATAATTTACTGTAGACTATCGATCGAAGTGCCATTGACTATTTCAACGACTTCAAAGCATTGGACTACATCTCTTTCTATCTTCTCGTCCGATTTCACCAAAAGATAGATTTGATCTTTCCGTTATCCTATATGGCTGCTGTGAAAACATGCGGTGGACTCAACTGCAAGAGTCTAATGTACAATTGGCCAAAATCTGCTGAGAGAGAATTGTCTTGTGTATTTACCATGTACTCATTAAGCAATTAAAAATTACTAGAAAAAAAAATCAAAAGCTCTTATGTACGCCGCAGTCATGCAACTTTGGTGAACAAGGATCGGCCTTGACATCAAACAGGGAGGGGGAATGAGAAAGAATCAAACACAGAAAAACAGCCTTCCCATCAGTGGTACGAGTTCCTCCGACCAAGAACCAGTCATATATTCAGGTTATTTTCGACCTCGGTTCGCCAGACTTAACAGCCGTAAACACGCTATACAAGTCGATGCCTGGTGCGACTCATCGAAGCGGAAAATGTCTTAGGCCATTGACGATGGGAGAGTATTGCCGGCCCCTTTTACAAAAGGGCAGCAATGGCGGCACCGGCCACCACGGACAGACCCAAAGGAGCCATGGTGGCGAGAGGTACACCGGCACCCTCAGAGGTGCTGGTGCTGCTGGAGCCGCTGGTCTGGGAGGAAGAGGAGGAGGTCTTGGTGGAGGTGGAAGACTCGGTCTTAGCGGTGGTGGTCTTGGTCTTCACCGTCGAGAAGGACGAAGCAGGAGCGCTGGAGCCGATGACAGCGCTAGAAGCACCGGCGGGGAGGGAGCCTTGGGTGGGGATGACAGGCTGGGAGGTCACAGCAGCGGGCTGAGAGGGAGCCTAGCTTCATGTCAGCACTATTGTTGTTTTGTAGATACAGGAGAGAATGCTTGCTTACCACGACAGCAGAGGACTGAGCAGCGGCGAGAGCGCCGAAAGCCACCAGGAAGATAGAGTAACGCATTGTGATAGTGGAAGGTGGGTTGAATCGGGTGGAGCGATTGTGGAGGCGGAGTATGAAGATCGATCAAGAGTCACAAGCGAATGTCTCTGGAAGCAGGTAGCGATTGAAGTGAATGGGTGAGGCCTCGAAAGGAAACGACCGTGGGGGTTACTTTATATCACTTGAGAAAGAAAAAGGGACAGAGAGGATGACAGGCGCAGGGGCATCCCTTAAATAGACCGGAGGCAGGGGACAGCGCAGAAAGGCCGGGGCCAGGTGCCGTCGCAATAAGACAATGAAGGAATAATCCATATTCCTTTTTTATTTGTTGTTATTATTATTATTACTACTATTATTTTCGGTTTCTTTCTAGTCACAATCAGCCCTGTCCAGTGTCTGCACCTCCTAGTAGTGGCAATGAAAGATGGTTAGATCCACTCAGGCCAACCAAGCCCGACGGCTCAGCATCGTTGCTCACTTTCTTGTGGCTTTGCCTAGGTACTCCGTCTATTCAAGTGCTTGAATATACTGTGCTTAGTAGGAGTGGGTGGTCAAGGCTGGCTGGAGAAAGAGGCGGGCGAGACAGAGTACGTACTACGGTCTCGGGCAACCAATGCCAAGTCTACTTGCCCATCACACATCGAACACACCATTGCGACTAAAACCACTAAAGTCGGACTAAAGACGGAGACGAGACGGGAGACAACCATTAGACTCCGTTAGACTGCAGACAGACAGTGGAAAAGAATTCATATACGAACCACGGCAGGAAGGAGGTTTGCGTATGCCTCCTGCTATTTTTACTATTTTTGGCGGTCACAGCCTGTCGCCCAGGGCTGGCCCCGCCAATAGAAGGCTTGTCCCGCCGATCTATCCATGGGCGACGGTGGTGAGATGCATTGATGATTGAACCAACCCAACCTCACCAGAATAGTAATTTATTATTTTTGAGTAGGTATTGTGACCGGGTCCAGTGGCCCAGGTATTAAGCTTCCTATTCGAAAGTCTTCGACTAAACTTTCCACCCTCAGCAACAAAGCACATGGTGAATGGATCCATCCTTACGAAGACAACACCAAATGCAATCCTCGCATGGGCCGATTCCTACTACATCCCAGCCATCCATTTCTATTTTTCCTATCACTGTACACCCCTCATCTGCATGCACTCTAAACCGAACCGTTCCATCCGAAGTGCAGTGCTAGGTTAGTGTAACTCACCACTTGATCCTCTTGACCACAGTCTGTACTGTGTAGATTTGACCAGCCTCTTAATTAGCGATCCCCCAACGGGCACAGCACCCGTGGACCGCAACGCGGGTCTAGCCGATGATGGATTCTCGCCCCTCTTCTCTGCCTCCCTCTCTGCCTCGGGTGGTGAGACCACAGGAAGTAAACTCCATGTCTGGTGCTGCACCCAGCAGACCGCGCTCCGAACCGCGCGTCCGGTGACTGGACCGAATTCTCTTCAGCATCACAAGCACTTGAGCCTCCCACCGAGTTTACCAAAACCCATCCTATACCAGTACACTATCGCTGCCACTGACGCGGTCCACGTAACGACCGTCAAAAGACGCCTCATCCTCAATCCTCACATTCAGCACTGACGTAAGATCATTACGATCCCTTGCAAGGGCGCACACTACGGTATTGCGATTCTAACAATTGCATACCCTTAAATGAAAGTCTACTGTCTGTCTCATCCTATGATCCTTCTAGTCGGGGGATAGAGAAGCCAAGGAGCAAGAAGGAAATGAGTCTGACACCACAACTGGGGTGCCAAGAGCATAACAACAGCTCCTTTTCTCCTGCATCTACCGAAGCAGCTGGTTAAGTGGGCTGTCGTAGTCTATGTCCATTGCCCAAGAGTAATGTGCATGGCCCGGGGGGGGGGCTCTTGTCGATCCGCCAATTCGAGACACTAGGGCCAGAACAGTCTACCGTAAGGTACGGTCGTATCAGGGGTGACAAAATCTCCGGCAAGGCAAATCACACTTCCCAAGGCGATGCAAGGATGCTTGCTCTCACAGGAGTCAGCATGTTTCGATTGCTCTCATTCTTGCAATAGCAGTGGTCAAAGGCTACAAATGCGAATGGCAGCACGGAGGAAAAGACAAGACTTTGGCCCGGCTGGCAAGGCGGTCACCATGCAAATTAAGGATTTTAGTCTTCAGACCCTTCAATTACTCGGTAGCTAAGCGATTCTTGTCTCATCCCGCCCTTGTCTCATCAGGCCAAGTTCGGTGGATAATGTATGACTGTGATACCCCAGGACTGCGGTGGAGCGCCTTTTCCGCCCGATGTCGCTAATTTGGACTAATTTGCGCTTGGGCGGACGGCAGCCAATCATTAATAAGTCGAGCTTCAATCGAGGGAGGCCTCAGCTTGAACCTGAAGCCGGCTGCAAGATCAGAGAGCGGTGGCTGGGACTCCGTACGGTGTGGTTGCTTTTTGATTCTTCACCATTCGAGATGCGAAGGAGTGCCAGTAAAAACCTCGGAAGAGAGTGAGTGCGAGAGAAGTCAGATTATTCTCGACTCTCCGAATCATTGCGTACTATTCCCCTTACATTCGAGCATAATTCCCACTTGCTTGTTCTCTTTCCCACCCATACTCCGTTCTGTGCTCCGTACTCCGTACTTTGTAACCCTCCCCATTGTCGTGATATGTCTTAGACGAGCAAGGCCCGATCACTTTGGTTCTGCCGCTGTGCCGTCCTGGACCGCTGCGCTTGTTTCCTCATTGCCCTTCCCCCACTCGGCCAAATACAAGGCTTATTCATGGACTTCATTGGGCAGTTTTCCTCCTGTCCGTCTTGGGATACGAACAAAAGTGGCCCAGATCTCCACCATCCACTGCACCCTGAATAAACTGGCTAGCCGGCCACATGACACTTTGGGGTTAAAAGGATACTTCTTGCCCCGTGAAGATTGCTGCTTCCAGCCTTAAGGAGCTGTCGACAGAACTCATGTGCGTTTCATTCTTGCCCTGGGTTGACATGATCATTCGGATCTCGATGAGTTGACTTGCCATACCTCAACCAGTCGTTCGACTCGGTTATATAGCACAGATGGAAACAACACATCCCGACTAAAACAGGATGAGTAAATGAGATACAGAAGACGCTGGTGTTTGCAAACTCATCCATATTCATACATTTGCCCATAATCCACGACGATAAGAGAACATGAACTCTGACGCATATCTTGTATCTTGTATCGCCCAGAGATCTCCCGCACAAGGACTACAGACAACCCCCAGCGAGCGCCATTGCCTCAACCTACATCCGAAATATCAGACTCGACTCCTTCAAGCCCGCATCCCCAGTAACTATCTGATACTCAAACCTCCACTTCTGTACTAAAAGCCATTTCAAACAAACCCCGTACATCCCGATACTCTGGACCTCCCCCGCCCCGGACTCGAGATACCTCGGCCACAGGGCCAGGGTTTTGTATCTGCATGTCTTGAAACCGATAGCCAAGTTTAACTCGAGAATGGTCGTGGAATGTTTTGCATGCAGCCAGCAGCATTACGAGGGCAAGAAGCGTAGACCACCGGTTCTTGGAGGAGGAACGATACGGACCAGCGCGTTCTTCTCCCGGTCTTCCTTAGGGGCTATGACTGAAACACAGAATTGGGTTCGTACTGATGAAACCACACGGTGTTTGAGCATGTCCGTGAGATGGAAATTTGAGTCGAACATGGCTGGTTTCTTTGGACTTCTGGAAGAATCAAGAAGTGCGTATTCGGTTTGAGGCAGGCTTGAGGCGCTTATAGGATGAATCTGGGCGTCGACTGGCGCGCGCGGGGGGGGGGGGGGGGGGGCACGTAGACATATACAAAGTAAAGTGTTCGCACGCCTCTCCTCTGCCCGGAGTAGGAAGTCAAGAAGCCTTGAAGGTCTCGGCCAACTGCCCAGCAGAGAAGAGAAGAAACAAACCCATCCCAGCTCACCAGTCCAGCCTTAACTCCATCAAACCAAGCCTAGAAACAGCATAGTAGCGCCGTTTGTAATAACTAACCCATCGAACACCAAGAGACCGGCAACCCAACCACACGACCCTCGATTATTCCCTAGGCAAGAAACCATAATATACAATGACCCTCTTCCCTAATCTACCTACCCAGACCATGCCTTTTGCTTGATCCCGAGGGAACACAGCCTCCCCCACAAGCCCAGCCCAACCCCATCCACCCCAAAACCACAACCCAGAGACAGAGCATCATTTCTTCTCGACCTCCTCCACCACATCCCCCAAATCCGTGCCCCGGATCCAATCCGCAAACTCCTTTCTCTTCGCCTATACACCCAACAATCATCATTAGCCATTGCCAGATTCTCCCAATCCTCACCCTCACCCGAGACCCCTCCCCCGGGCTACCTTAGAAACCATAACCCCGTCCCAAGACAAGCACACCGAAGGAGAAGAACATACCCTAACATCCCAAAACCCATACCGCTCCTCCAACCGCCGATACGGATGGCGCCCTTTCCCCTCGCGCTCGATCTGGCCCGCCCATTCGCTCCAGCTGATGGGTTTGAGTTTCTCGGTGCCCAGGACGAGGCCCATGGAGACGACGATCAAGGATACCAGGGCTTCGATGATGATGTCCGGCGGGAGGTGCGTGGTTGTTGTGGTGGTGGTGGTGGAGTGGAGCGGGTTGAGGCGGGAGCTGCTGGTGCTGCTTGTTAGGAGGGTGTGTTCGTGGGCGGAGTAGCCTCTGTGTTTCCGGGGGGTGTTAGCTTTGGGAATGGTGTTTAGGGGAAGATATGGGGAGGGGAGGGGATGGGGGGTTCTGAAGGTGTTGTCTGTGAAGACGAGGAGGGTATAGGATCGTGGTTGTATGCATGAAGCTGGACTGGACTTACGCATGGGCAAGCAAGACCAACCCGAATAGGGTGAGGAGGCGGGAGAAGAATCCCATTCTGCTGGTGGATTGGGAGGATGGGTGGGAGCTTGTTGTCCCGGATTGATAAATTGCACGAGGAGGTCAACCTAGTGCAATATAGTCATTAAGGTACTCCGTAGTAGCTTCTAATTGCTCTGGTGTATCGGTATCGGATCTGCGGAGGTGGTTGGTACGGTGGCCCGGAATGACCTGGACTGCAAGCAAGCCTAGCGCCCGCGGGCTCTTGCGATGGGCTACTACTCCGTACGCCGGGCGGTGGCTGCACATGTCTGAATTGATGACGGCCCCACGAGATTGGGCAGCATTGACCTTTTGCTTGCTCGCTACGCATTGGCTCGGCTTCGCAGCTAGCTTGCAGCTGTCTACCGGTGTTTGCTGATGAGGGGTTAAACTGAGGGGCAATGACTACGCGCTACTAATCATGCAAGAGACAAAAGTGAAGTGGGTATAATTTTGTGATTTTTTTATTATTCGTCACGCCAATCGAGGCGGCTTTTATTTATTTATTCAAGGTCATGACAGTAAATTCCCGTGGAATAACATCAAATAATCCATCGTCACACCATAGGGTTTAGTTCATCAAGAATCATTTACAGCTTCTGCATGGCAGCCTGTAGGGTAAAAAGTTAGTACCGACGCGAGGTGAGTAGGGCTGAAAAATGATATAACTTACGACATCGGTGGACTGGACGTGGTCCTCGTCCTCCTCGATCTGCTGCTGGAGCTCATCCAGAGAGACCTTCTCGTCCTCAACGACAAGGTTGATCTGGAGCTTCTTGATACCGAAACCAACGGGAACGAACTTGGAAGCACCCCAGACGAGACCGTCCATCTCAATGGCACGGACGTTGGCCTCCATCTGCTGGATGTCGGTCTCATCATCTGTTACTGGTTAGTAGCTGCATTTTTGGTGGTCAAATAATGGTAGAACATACCCCAGGGCTTGACATCCAGGGTCACGATGGACTTGGCGGCGGGCTTGGGGCCCTTGGCCTCCTTCTTCTTCTTGTACTCAGCAAGACGAGCCTCACGCTCCTTGACGGCCTCGGCGTCCTCCTCCTCATCCTCATCGGAGCCGAAGAGGTCCATGTCGTCATCCTCAGCAGCGGGCTTGTCCTTGGGGTTGGTGGGGAGCTCGGTGGCCTCAGGGCCGTAGGTGGTGTACTCCTTGGAGGCATCACCGGGGAGAGTGGAGAACTCAGCCTCGTAGGAGGCAATGTGCTTGTACCAGCGGGCAACGTGGGGATACTTCTCGGCGTCAGGAGCACCGGAGAAAGCCTTGAAGGTCACGACATCGGCCTGGGAGGGAGCATCGCTTAAATGGAGTTAGCCAAAGTCCATCATCATGGTACAACAAGGTGTCGATGGGTTGAAAAATCAATTCAGGCAGAAAATGCAACAAAATGAAAAGGTTTTCCAAGTAATCAGAAGCGCGATTGCTCGCATTGTTGTGTAATCTTGCAGCGGGGTCTTAAGCCGCCTCATAAACACGGACCAATTTGTTTTCATCATACAAACAAGGAAAGAAGCCTTGAACAAGAAGGGGAAAGAGGGGTAAACATCATCAAGAGTGCCTTACCCAACAATGTAGCTCCGGGAAGCCAGGTAGTTGTTGGCGACTGAGGGGCACAATTAGTGACTGCTAGAGACAGCAAGGGACAGAAAGGAAGAAAAAGACGTGGGGAGTGACATACGGGTGAGGCCGGCGTCGGAAACGAAGTCAGTGAAACCCATTGTGAAGGTATGTGTATGTGAAGAGTGTGGTGTAAGAAGAAGAAAAAAAGGAGGGGGAGGGGAGAAGGAGGGAATAAATAGGAGGAGGAGGAGAAGAAGGAGGGGAAAGGTGTTCTGAAGTAATTTTTTTCAATTTTCCACCTTTCCACCTTCCACCCTCCAGGCCCTGCCTGAGAGGTCGAAATTTTTCGGGCGACGCCCACAGCGCCCCTCCTTTTGGGGCTGCACGTGATCTTGACGGTGGACGGATTCGAAGAGCTTGGAAGAAAGCCCGCAAAGCGACCTTCCAAAGTCTGGAAAGGCTGGTCCAGTTCGGGGAGCTTCCGCCACTCACCGTCACTCACTTCCTCACCCAGGTGGAGCCTTCGAGAACACTCGCGACGTTGGGGGGCAACCGGCTATATAGTCGTGGTGATGCACCCTTTGCGACTGATCGCGAAATCCAACTTATAGACCATATTCTACAGTCGAAACACACAGATTGAAGCTTGTCTTGAGCTTAAATCCCCTACACGGTCTGATCTCGACCATGTCGGCAAGACTGCAGCTATCCCGAGCTCGGTTGCTCCGACCCTCGACCCTATCGTCATCGAACCGGATCCTTCAACCGTCCCAAGCTTTATTGCGTCGCACTAGATTATTACCAACCTTATCAAGCACCACCAGTCTTCACAATTCTCGCTCGATAATACCCTCGCGCAACTATGCCAATGGCCGGCCTCATCCCCCAGGAGGCACGCATCGGATGAACCTCGGTGGCGAACCCGAGAAGTCGGCATTGGAACAATTTGGTGTCGATCTTACTGCTAAAGCCAAAGCGGGCAAACTCGACCCCGTCATTGGGCGAGATGCTGAAATTCATCGCACCATCCAGGTCCTCTCCAGGCGGACAAAAAACAACCCTGTCCTCATCGGAGCTGCAGGCACTGGTAAAACCGCGGTCTTGGAAGGTTTGGCCCAGCGCATTGTTCAAGGAGATGTCCCCGAAAGTATCAAGGACAAGCGTGTTATCTCCTTGGATCTGGGTTCCCTCATCGCAGGGGCCAAATTCAGAGGTGATTTCGAGGAACGTTTGAAATCCGTCCTGAAGGAGGTCGAGGAGGCGCAAGGCGGCGTGATTCTCTTCATCGATGAGTTGCACACTCTGCTGGGACTTGGTAAGGCCGAAGGCAGTATCGATGCCAGCAACCTTCTGAAGCCAGCACTGTCGAGAGGAGAGCTCCAGTGCTGCGGAGCCACCACCCTAAACGAGTACCGCTTGATCGAGAAAGATGTGGCCCTTGCCAGACGTTTTCAGCCGATCCAAGTCGGCGAGCCATCGGTCGCTGCAACAATCTCCATTCTACGCGGTATCAAGAACAAGTATGAAGTCCACCATGGTGTACGAATCACCGACGGCGCATTAGTGGCCGCCGCAACGTACAGCAACCGCTACATTACCGATCGTTTCCTGCCAGACAAGGCCATCGACTTGGTGGATGAAGCAGCTTCGGCCTTGCGACTGCAGCAAGAATCGAAGCCGGATGTGATCAGAGAATTGGATCGCGACATTACCACCATTCAGATTGAGTTGGAATCTCTTCGCAAAGAAACCGACGTCAGCAGCCGCGAAAGGCGCGAGAAGCTACAGGAAGATCTGAAAGCCAAGCAGGAGGAAGCGGAAAGGCTGACTAAGATCTGGGAGAAGGAGAAAGCTGAAATCGAAGAGCTTAAACGTGTCAAGGAAGAGCTAGAGCGAGCACGGTTCGAGTTGGAGCAGGCCCAAAGAGAGGGAAATTTCGCCAAGGCTGGTGAACTGAGATATGCCACTATCCCCAGTCTTGAAGCCAAACTACCCAAAGAAGGAGATGAAGCAACAGCCGGCACTTCGTCTAGCCTCATCCACGACTCAGTCACTGCCGACGATATTGGAAATGTCGTTTCGCGGACAACTGGTATCCCCGTTAACAAGCTCATGGCTGGTGAAGTCGAGAAACTCATCCGTATGGAGGACACGCTACGTCAGTCAGTGCGTGGCCAGGACGAGGCGCTTTCTGCAGTCGCTAATGCAGTTCGCATGCAGCGAGCCGGCCTTAGCGGGGAGAATCGCCCTCTAGCCTCGTTCATGTTCCTTGGACCCACCGGTGTTGGAAAGACCGAGCTCTGCAAGAAGATGGCCGAATTTCTGTTCTCGACCGAAACCGCCGTTGTACGGTTTGATATGAGCGAGTTCCAAGAGAAGCATACTATCAGTCGCTTGATCGGCTCTCCTGCTGGTTATGTGGGCTACGACGATGCCGGCCAGCTGACAGAAGCTGTCCGACGCAAGCCGTACGCAGTGCTGCTCTTTGATGAGTTCGAAAAGGCCCACCGTGACATTTCCGCTCTTTTGTTGCAGGTCCTCGATGAGGGCTTCTTGACGGATGCTCAAGGCCACAAGGTTGACTTCAGGAACACCCTCATTGTTCTTACTTCGAACCTTGGTGCCGAAATCCTGGTGGGAGCCGACCCGTCGTACTCTTCCAAGGATACAGGAAGCGCAGAACTTTCTCCCGAGGTTAAGAAATCGGTCATGGATGTTGTGCAGTCTGCTTACCCACCAGAATTCCTCAACCGTATTGACGAGTTCATCATTTTCAAGAGACTGTCCCGCGAAGCTTTGAGAGACATTGTCGACATCAGAATCAAGGAGCTCCAATCGAGACTTGATGATCGACGTATGGTTCTCAAGGTCGACGACGAGATTAAGGACTGGCTCTGTGAGAAGGGTTATGACCCCAAGTATGGTGCTCGTCCTCTCAATCGTCTCATTGCCAAGGAAATTGGCAACAGACTGGCCGATAAGATCATCCGTGGCGAGGTCACGGCTGGCCAGACTGCCCGCGTTTCTTTCAATGAAGAAAAGAATGGGCTAGCCATTGCTGCGGAGGCTGCTCCTGAAGCGAAAGCTGAAAATGCTTAAGCAATGATTATCTCTTAACTCATGTTGATCATGATGTACGGTTCTTGGCGCAAGGTTAGCTGGATATCTGACTTGCTGATTGATATTTCACATGTCTCCTCTTTAATGTATTATAGCATCAATGTACCATATAACATGAATTGGATGTAAATGCGCTGCATTTAAATCAAGAAAATCTCAGTACCATAGTTGTTGTAGTTGGATGCCTTAGGCTGAAGCTATTTGTGAGATGGCTTCGCGCTGCTACTCCATGAGTCAAGACTCCTGCAAACGTACCCAATCCGGATTACCTCAACCTCGACTTCGGCACGATGATGAGATCTTCCGTGAAAAGAAGGCGCACTATCTATGAGTCTGTGTCTCCCCAGGGCTCTACCAACAACGCCAGGCTGGCAACGCATGGCTCCTCACAGCGTGTGCGCCAATCCAGCATCCTGCAGCCCAGTCCACAATCCCCACACGAAGCAACACAAGCACGACAGAATCTTTTTGATAGTGATCTGTCCTTGCAAGCAGCCGACGATGAATTGGATCAAGTCATCGTAGCCATCGATAGTCGGGAATCTGGAACTGTGGGATGCTCCTACTACTCTGTCCGA